CCCAAAACCCCAAAACCCCAAAACCCCAAAACCCCAAAACCCCTAAGCTGCATCAAAATATTGAATACTTGGCAAATTAGCATCTGATTTAGGATATTGCATGCTAAAATAGTATCAACTACTGGGAAATTATCTGGAAATGGCTGATAGATTCATCAACCCTTGCAACACTGACATCCATTTGAAGTACCAAATCTGACAAGAGCTTGACATGAACTCCAAAGAGTTCGAAGTTAACGATGACAACACCATTTGTGATGAATCTGATATCAAAGAGAACCGCAAGTATGCAAAATTTCTAGCTTCAAATCTTCTCCACACAGAAGAAAAGAAATGCAACTGTAGTGACTCCAGTCAAAACGATGAGAATAGCTCAGAGTACTGCGAATACTGTATCTCCAAATATAACAAGAAGAAGAGGAAGCGTTTGTTCAAATATAACACTCAGCACAATATTCAAAGCAAAGGTCGACCTTTGGATATATTCCGGAAGAGAATAGCACTTAAACCAATGGAAAATCCCACCAGGAAGATCAGTAGTATTGCTTATAGAGTTCTAGACGCTCCAGGATTAATCAATGATTACTACTGCAACCTCCTTGATTGGTCTAAAAACGATATTGTCAGCATTGGACTAGGCGCAAGTTGATATCTCTGGCAAGGTAAAACAGAAAAGTCAAAGAAACTTTGCGATCGCAAGACAAACACTATATCTGCTTTAAACTTCAACCAATCAGGATCAAAACTTTGAATCGGATATCAAGATGGACTTATAGAAATTTGGGATCCCATCAAATGACAAATAGAAAGATCTTATCTGAACCACGCAAGGAAAGTAGGAACACTATCATGAAAAGAGAACATATTGGCTTCAGGATCAATGGACTCTCAGGTCGTTATCCAGGATCTGAGATGTAGCCCAATCACTTGTGATGTACTCGACTATCATTCTCAAGAAGTCGTTGGGCTAAAGTGGAACAACTATGGGGATTTTCTTGCATCTGGAGGGAATGACAACAAGCTCCTCATCTGGGACTCGAGAAATTTGGAAAAGCCAACACTATCACTCAAAGGCCACAAAGCAGCAGTTAAAGGAATCACTTGGTCATCACAAAAAGATCAAGTGTGTCTCAGTGGAGGAGGGACAGCAGATCCAACCATTCGCCTTTGGGATATTAACACTGGTAAACTGCTTCAACGAATAGATACATGAGCTCAGATCGGAAGCATTATTTTTAGGTAAGTGAAATCATTAAGCCAATTAAAGTCTATTTTTAGTCGGAATTCAAATCAATTCGTAACCACGCACGGTTTCTCAACCAATGAATCTCTCCAAAATAAGATCTTTATCTGGAGCCTTAAGCAAGGTAAGTTGATTTTTAAAGAATTTTACTGATGAATAGATTACAAACAAAAAGCAAAGAAAGTAGCTACTTTATCAGGCCACAACACAAGAGTTCTTTATCTTGCTTTAAGTCCAGACGGAGAAAAGATCATCACAGGAGCAGGAGGAGCCATGGACCATAATAATCAGTTTTCTTGATGTGAGACATTGCGGTTTTGGAATGTATTTCCAGCAAAAAGAAAAGAAACTTCTTTCTCATCCTCTCTGTTTGACAGTGGAGCAATCACAATAAGATAGTTTCAACATTATAGACTAATTTGGGGTTTTGGGGTTTTGGGGTTTTGGGG